TTTCACATATCCTTAATGTGTTTTCTGAACTTTGTCCATCTTTCTAATGGACTATCGTATTAGATCTAAAATCTTGGGATTGGCACAGTGTGACAGGATCCCCCCAGGATGCAGCCTGGGACTGTGGGACCGCTGTGCCCCCTGGACTCACTCCAGCCTGGGCTGTCTCTCACAGTGCCTTGCTAGTGACCAGCAGCAAGCCCTCCACATGCTATCACTCAGCACAACAGCATGTGGAGCCCCACACTCAGCTATATTGCATATATGCACCCAGAGCCACTCATGAATTACACAGAGAAAGGCACCAGAGCCAAATCCCCCCAGCTCCCAGCACTGTACCTCAGAATATACCATCTTGCACTGCTCAAGATGGGCAGTGCAAATTTATTAATTGGTTCAACACTTCAGCAATGGAAAATGGACATACACCCACCTTTGTCAAACCTGAGCAGATTTGCCCCACACTACATACAAACTCACTGGTAAAGATAAACAGTTCAACAAATTTATTGACTATAAAAGGTAGATTTTAAGTGATATTAAGTGACAGGCAAAAAGTCAGTTAGTTACAAAAAGAAATAAAATATAAACACACAGTCTAAACTCTCAACCCTATTAGACTGGACAGCAACTAGATGAAGCAGTTTTTCTCACCCCATTGGATACTGCAGTCCTTAATATACAGGTTTGGCCCAGGTTTAAGGAACAATCTCCTCTGTTGGAGTCTTGTCTTCTTCTCAGTGTCTTAGTTGCTTGCAGCATAGGTTGGGGCAGGAAAAAAGGTCCAGTATGTGTCCACTCTGTCTGTTTTATACCCTCAGTCCATGTGCTTGGAAAACACAAGTGCAGGCATGTCTGGCTGGGCCTTGCTGAGGCTCCAGGCAAGGTTGAGAAATTCCCCCGATGAGGCCTCCTGCAGGTGAGGCATTGCATCATAGCTCCCTTGCTGGACAATGGTTGTTGATGGGTTGATTGATACCCCAGCCGGGTGTTGGCTACTTTCCTGGCTGTTGCCTCTGGGGAACTAATGTCTGGCTGATTCCCCAACTTACAGCATGTTTTAGTGACCACCATACAACACAATTCTCATAACTTCATATGCATTAGTGATATACATATATGGATAGAGAAATTACTTTCAACAGGCCATAACCTTTCCCCGATACAAAGCATGCTTTATATGTAAGATCACAATCATATCTAAATGAGGAATATGGGGGGTTACAGGGTGCTCCCCCAAGGTACAGAATGTCACACACAGGGGCAATCAGGTTCTCTCTGAAAGTTTTGTGAAATCCAGCAGTGTGCCACAACTTGCAGCAGTATTGGGAACCATGAGATGCATCCCCAGGAGTTACTGTGTTTAACATGATTGAATGCAGAGTCAGTGTGAATGTAGGGCATAACAGCAAACCTGCTGTACACACCTGTGCATTGTAAGTGTGGAAACACTTGCCCTGTGTTAGTTTGCACTGAGTTAAATTATCTGAGAGTCTCAACTAATTTCAGTCTTTAGTACAGATAAGATGTGTTTACATTAGAGAATGGTATCCATGCTAACTGAACCAGTGGAATTGCAATACTGAGCGTCCATGCTGGATATTCTGTTTCAGATGCGCACACACAATGCTTACCGCAAGCATTGCAAAGCCAGTGGATCCCTGTGCCTCTTACAGAAAGCCCAGCTCACTAGAACAATTGCATGTCTGTGGTTTATAATAATGCCTCTTAGCACCTGTACTATGTTTGGTTTGTTCCATCACCTGTTTCTGGTGATTCTATTCCTGCACTCTACCAAGGAGCTGCATGTGCAATGTAATGGGGAAGGTGTTATGCCCTCATGTTGCAGATGCCATGGCAAGGAGTCACCAGCACTACCCCCTCCCTCCCAAACTGGTGATGATTAACCAAATCTGAGCCTGGCAGCCTACTTGAAAGAGCATCTGTGAAGTTAGGTGTCTGAAGAGATAAAGATCCTGATTTATTCTCTTCCTTAATTTGTCCAGTAATTTATTACTCTTAATTTTGCTGCACTGTCTTTTTCTTGCTTTGTGGTTGTTTCTGTTTAGTAGCTAACTTTCCTTTCTTGCATTTCCCTCTAGGATTTAGAGATGGGATTCATCCAGCCCTAGATGGGAATAACAGCACAGAACAGGTGTGTGAGGAGAGATGGCACACATGGGAGGGAGACAGGGAAGGTAAGTGGGGAAAATAGAGGGAGAATGAGAACCAGCAGGATTATCAATGATCACCCCAACCCCTCAAAAATGCAACTCTCCTTTTTCCTGCTGGTAGGCTGCTAAAGTTGCTGCTTTTAACCTGAAGAGTTTCCAGAAACTTGAAAAGAATTCTTAAGATGCCTAACTCCTTACTGGTGTTACTGCTTTGGTACCATTTTGATTTACCTGCTGGTGACTATCAAGTGATGGATCAGTAGATGTATCAGATGAAGCCTTACAGCAGAAAACCCTGTCTGTGGCTTTGTCTGTAGTTTCCCCCTTATCTTAGGGAAGGAGTTGCATTGCTGTTCATTCTGATGTGCATGCCACTACTCCCAAGAGGAAAGTGGCTTATTTTGTAATTAAAAGGATAAGTGATTCCTGTGGCATATATAGACAAATATTTTACATTAACAGGTGGGAATCTTAATAGCTAATTTTCATAATGTTTATTTCAATTTATACCGATGAATAAATACACGTAAAATCTAATCACTGTCACATAAACATCTACCAGTAATTTTGCAGTTTCTTTGGAGAGATAAGTTACATATCATTATTGCCATCAGAACTTTATGGTAGGACTGACAACTTGCAGGATATTACAGTATATGTGTAAGTAACCAGTGTAAAATTTTAACCTGATAATTAGGAAACATTGATTGTAAAATAAATAAGAGACAAGCATAGAAAATGCTACAGTACAATTGCAATAAAACTGTTTCAAATGCTGCACAAACGTATTTGGGGCTTAGTTCCTTTTGTGGTCATGCAATTTTCATATGGTGTACTTATACACAGTGCAAAAGGTCAGGTGTACAGTATATGGCTTTTATAAACTCTATATTTGTTGGCTTTAATAAGCTAGTCTGCTTTCCCTCTTAGCTATGTTGATTTTTACTGTAGCATCTTCTTTACAAGCTCAAAAGTTCTCAAAAGGACAGGGCAATTGATACTGAGTACATCTATTTTTCTGAGTTTTACTTTTTTTCTGATGGCCTGATCCAACTCCTGCTGAAGTTAATGAGCATCTGGGGAGCTTCACTGACTTCAGAGGCAGCTGGATCAGACCTTTCATGAGTCAGCCTGGATACTGGTAATACTGAGAGTATCATTTTTCTCCTAAATTCCACCAACTGTAGTTGAGGGCAAAATCAGACCCAATATGTCTTGTCCAAATATATAAATACACTGTCACCTCAACTTTTCCTTATTAGGAGGAATGTCACTCATTTTACCCTTGCATTTGACTCATTCCTATTTCATGTAATACTTCATTGCTGCAGATAATTAGCATAGAAAATGTTACATCATGGAGCTGTGGTTATAGATTATAAAATAACACTTGCATACTTGGCTGCCTAAAATAAGGATCCTAAATAAAAATGGCCTGACTTTCAAAGGTGCTGATACCTGCAACTCTCTACTGACTTGAATGTGATTGGAGGGTACTCAACAGGTCTGAAAATCAAGCTACTTATATAGGCTGCCTAAAGTTAAGCTTCTGCTTTCAAACTTTTGACTACTGACTAATGTTTGGGTTTGGTTGAAAACTTTCTGTTGAACTTTCTTGATGGAAAATAGGGGTTTCTACTAATTTTTTTCCCACAACATCTTTAACTTTTTTGGCAAACCTGGTTAACAAGTCAGATTTTCAACAAAAATTTCAACTGACAATTTTTAGAAAATTATTTTTCCTGTTTTTGACAATTTTCCATGAAGGGGGTGCGGGAAGCACTTTCCAACCAGCTCTTCTAATGCCATTATGCTAAATAAATCTCACATTGCCTAAAGCTTCTGGTATTATGTTTTTTATATCTTCGGTTTAGGGTATTGGCCCACATCTGGGCTTCTTCTTCAGGTTCAAAAGTATGGTAAAATCCATCACTTCACCTTGTAAATACAAAATATAATCCAACCCAGCTGTTGCTGTGAAGACAAATCTGAGAACCAGCAGAGGATAGCCCAAGTCTCATCTCCTTCCCCTTTCATTCTCCAAAATCCTAATGACATTCCCTTGAGTAATGCATTTTTCCTTTTCTTTTGCTGCTTTTCTTTTTCACCTTTCTTCTTAATCTTTTGACTTCTCCCTGAAAACAAACTTCAGAGTTCAGTTGAGACGTTGATCAAAATTCTGTGCAGTTACAGTGGTGTAAATCTGGAATAACTTCATTGTTTCAGTGGTGTCATTTCCAGAGCAACTGCAGTCCAATTGGAATTTGACCCTGTCTGGAGTGGCTGTGTGAAACTGCCATTTGCAGAATTCATGGCAGCTTCTTGCATGGCATTTGGCCTTACCATTAATAGCACTTTGTACAACAAATTCACAGACTTTTGAACTGATATTGTTATCCCAACTTCAAGACAGCTGGTAACTGTGACCCCATCCAACATGCCCTCTATGCCAAACCCAATACTCTTAAAAGAAACCAGATCGTCATCCCTGAATCCTGGGATGGAACAGTAATGGTAATAGTTTTGTGATGTGGACACGAGCCTATGGACTTGGCCAAGACTGCCAACTCATTTTATATTACACATAGAACAGCCTTCAGATGGTATTGACTTCCAGTTGCTACCAGTTTGCGCTGGATTAGAATGGGTGAACCTGAATTAATGGTTTTGTTTAGCGAGGCAAAATTAACAGCACAAGGTGTAATGATTGAATATTTAGTACTCTAGTCATCACTCACTTCATACATGTCTCTTGTTAGAGAGTCTCTGTGTTTATTGAAGTGTCACTTACACAGACATTTCTCTCTGGGCTTCCTCTCTTACAGTTTAAGTCATCGTTTCAAAAAGTTTGAACATCTTTGCAAATCTCAGGTGACTTTGAAAGTTCCGAGCAGCAAAGGCGTAAAGCAGAGGGTTAATGCAACTGCTAATAAATGCCAGTGATCCAGAGATGTATACTCCCATTTCTGAGACCTCATCCAATGCCAAAGACATCTTCTGGTTAGAGTCTACTATCTGTGTTGAAACAATTTCTATTATGTTAAACACATGATGTGGTAACCAACAAACAGCAAAAACCACAATCACGCAGGCAATCAGCCTCGCTGACCGCTGCCTAGATGAGTAAGTCATTGTGTTTATTCTTCTACCAACACATACATAACAAGTAGAGATGATAACAAAAGGAATCACAAAACCCACAATAGTCTCCAACAAAAGGAACAATATCTTCTGCTGATCAGAAGTGTAGTTGCGAGATGTGCACTGCTGCCCAATCTTGGTTTCTTCAATCTCTTGAAATGGGATTATGAAAGTTCCAAAAGCAATAGACAGGAGCCAAATGAGAAAGACAGCTTTGAGAATCACAGCTTTATTTTTCCACCTTTGAATCATGAATGGGTAAAACACAGCCATGAACCTCTCCAGACTCAGTGTTGTAATTAGAAACACGCTGGCATACATATTGCAGTAAACAACAGAAACCAGTGTTTTGCAGAAGATGACTCCAAAGAGCCAGGTGTTAGCAAAGGAGTAAATCCAGATTGGTAAAGTAACCAGCACCAGGATGTCTGAAATGGCCAGATTTAGGATCAGCATGACTGTAGGAGATCTTTGCTTCACTTTCCCACAAATAGTCCAGATGACAATGGAATTCCCAGGGATCCCAATAGCAAATGACAAGCTCAGTATTGTGCAGACCACTGACCTCTCACTGTTCCATGTCAGATGGCTGTTTTCTTCTGTTCTATTCATCTTGATTGGAGACTTGTTTTTTCTCTGATACTAACAATCTCTGTTCCCTGCACTATGCTTTTAACTCTGTAGCCACAAATAGTGAACCTTATCAAGTGCTCCCTAACCAATGATCTGAAGGCTTATACAGCATGTGAGTTCACATCCTATTGTTCAGAACTGGGTGATGCTGAGTTCATGCTTTCTATTAGAGTACGTAGGAAGACTGCATGCATACAAAGCAAAAAACAAAAAAAAACCCACCATATTCGCCTGACTGCTCTCATTTGTGCCAGTTATGTATGGATGTAATTCCATTTATTTCCATTCACTTCTGATTTAAGCCATGAGAAAGGAGAATCAGGACCCACTTACTTACCCATGCTTAAGAAGCTTACTACTTCAGTTAAAATGACTGTTTTTATAAGAAACTCTTAACAAGCTAAAGTAAAGTAGTGCACATGAACACTTCAGTGTTTTGTATGTGAGGATTATTTTATAAAAAGCACACACACAAGCAAAAATTTTAAAAATTAAGATAAAACACTGACACATTCAGTATAAGTAGGAATAATATATTTTGAGTAATCAAAAACAACTCAAACGATTGTACCTTGCCTTGAGTACCTGCCTGACTTAAAGAAACTGCCAAATTCTGCCTTTTTGTTTTTCACTCTAGTGCAACCCACTGGACCAGATTTTGATCTCTTTTACCCTGGCTTCAGTGGAGTTACTCTAGATATACACTGGCATAATGGAGATCTGAATTTGACCTAGTGACTTCAGTGAGGTTACAATAGTGTTTCAAGGGTTTGGTTTTGGCTCTCTAAAATAAGAAAGAGGGATGTCTTTTAATTCTCCTGAGAAAGTTCTGCTATGGAATACACTTTAATGTAACTTCAGCTGATCTTAATAGCAAGTGGACAAAGATTGTACACAGGCTAATCTACTCAAGCTTGACTCCAGCTAGCATGGATAACAATAGCCTTGAAGGCAATGCAAGCTTCAACACAGGTTGTAACAGCCTGGCACAGATGTATTCCCCTTGCTAGCCTGTGCTGTGCTTTCTTCACTTCTGTTGTTACCCATGCCAGCTGTATTCAAGAGAAGGTAGGCTAGCATATGCACAGCTTTTGCTGTGTAGACATATCCTAAGACTGAAGGAAGAAGAAAATAAAAAAAGAAACTGCAACAACAAAAACAGTTGATGGGATTGGGGAACTGAAATTGGGAGTGTATTTTTTATAGACACAAACAAGAAAGCAGACGGTGTTTACCACTTCTCTCTGAAATCTAAAAGTAGTTTCAAGTTTATTCCCTAATGCTGATGCTCAGATTCAGTTCTACAAACCCAAGTAAATTTGTGCATGGAATAAATGAAGGAGAAGAATCCATCACTTCTAATGAGAAAGAGTGTACAGTATTTTCTTTTAATCATTTGGCTGGATGCTGGTCTCCTTTCTAAAGGCTGATGTAGCCCTGTCCATTCTAGTAAAGGATACAAGCATTCTCATGTTATTTCGCATACCCATGGATAAGATTGGTAAAAAAAAATCAAGAAAGATCTTAGTTTCCCACAAGCAATACTGGAGAGACTACAAGCTTTACTCCAACCCTGGGTAGTCCTTCCTGCCGGACAATATAGAAAGTCCTTCAAGAAAGGACCCAGCTACAACAGAGGAAAATGGAACAGATAAAGGGGAGCTCCAGGTGGCAGAGGAGACATTTCTGGTTGAACGCTAGGCTTCTCAAAGCAAACAGCATGACTCACAGGCAGCCCAATGCAGGGTGGAACCCTAAATTGGTGGTTAGCTTCAGTTTGCTACTCTGTGGCCACTAGTGACCTTTGTCTCCATTGGTTCCTGTCACGGAATCATCACACAGAGGCTAGTCTCTTCCCAAGAGAGAATTGGGGCCTGGGAACTGCAGGTCAGGACTGAGGGGCACCTGCCTCAATTTAAAGGGCAGTCTGCCAGCATCGTGCCTAGTTCAAGTGCCTCCCTCATGTGAGGAGGGGGTGACAGTTTGCAAAGACTAAGAGCGTTGATGGGGGAGGGTGATGTTGATGTTACAGTTGCAGGGCAGGAGGGCAGATGAGGCCATGGGGCATAGGCATGTGTTGGTGAGCAGCCCAGTAGCCACTGTTATAGTGGGAGGCCTGCAAGCTCCCTAGAAATGGGTAGCAGGCTCCAATGACCCAGACTGAGCCAGGAATAAGACAGATTCTTCAAATTTTCTACACAGTTAAAATTAATTGACATTTTGTGCGTAGGCCATATTTGCAGAAATTATGTTGCAAACCAGTTAAGATATTAATGATGGCTTTGTCCAATTATGATTGTATATAGACTACAGGCAGGGTCCAATCAACAGTTCTGAATCTTTCTTAAATAGGGCCATTGTGATGACAAAGGTTACTCAGCCAATCAACACACCCTTCCGCTAAAGCTAATTTGCATGCATTAATTCTACTAGTTGTAATGAGTCAGTGGCATGAGGGAGACTCTGGTTTTTCAAAAGTTCCATGGCCCCATACTTGGTTTGGGTATCAGTGCTTGAAAGATTCCCCAGGACACTGCGGCCAGCTCCAAAGCGTATCAAGGCAGCACTGCCAGGGAAACTGATCTCAACAGAAGAGTTGGAAGAACCCTTAAAGCACAGAGACATTGTGACCCCAGAGCTGGTGAGCTAAATGACCTTATCTCTGCCCAACAGCACCATGAGGGAAAAAATTCCTACCTTTAAAAATCAGTTTGATCTAATCTGGGAGCATTAACTGCCTTCATCATAGTTGTATTGTATTGTATGGTGTCAGTAAAGGGCAGAGTTAAGGGTGTCTGGATGTCACAACTGTGCATTTCCATAACTTAACATAAACGGATTTCTTTTAAGTGTAACTCTAACTCTGAATTTCCTGGTTCGGGATAATTATAATATCCCTGCAATGTTTTTACCCTTAAACTACTGATACTGCCTCTCAACCTTAACTCCATTTTAACGTAGTTCTTTATCTTGAAGTTTTTATAAGAGGCTGCCTTAAACCTTATCTTCCATAGCTGATGATAAACCCTATGTCCAGGGTTGCAGGTGCTGCAGACAGGAGAGGGAGAGATTGGAGAATCTATTCATTTTCTTTCCCATTGAAACCAAAATAGTTCCATAGAACCATCCCCAAGAAGGGAGGCAGAATTGCTGAGCACAGCAACTTCAAGGAAGTTGTCCTTTACAGGAAAGGTCTGCACCCACTTCCTGAAAAGTAGATCGAAAGTGTTCATAGCACAGCCCTGGGCTCAGAGTGTGCCCTTGGCAGGGCAATTGTGTGTGGGGTGTCCCTGATACTACGGTGATGAGTGAGGCATGGATGGATGGACTGATCCATGCCCTAGAACTGTGACAGACAGGTGGATGGATAATCCATAGATGGATGAATAGACGGATGGACTAGAAAGAGAGACAGACAGACTGAATGGATAGAAGCGCAGTATCAGAGTTATCACTCAAGGATGCATGGACACAATCTGCTTTACAGCTCAGGGAGTGAGATTTCAGCTGCTGGTGATTTTGGAGCAGGTTCCTGCTTTATCTTATGGTTTCATATCTGACACTTTTCTTCCCACAGTGTTTCCACCTCCTCACTGAGGCCCAGCAGGTCCAGAAAGGACAGTGAGGCCAGGATCCCGATTCTCCAGGCAGACATTCTCCATCTGGGCATTGATGCAAGTGATGAAGTACAGCTGGGATCCCATCAGCTGAGTGGCCGATTCACTAACCCCCTCAAACACATCTCAAATCAGTCAGTGTGCTCTGAGCTTCCCTCACTTCTAGGCAGGCCTGGATCAAGTACTAGACTCAAAAGGCCCATATTTGGACCCCATCCCACAGACTCAAATGCCTATGTGATGATGTCATTGCTGGGGGAAAGGGAGCCCTCATGCCTCCACTCCTGGTGGGGGATGGGACCCTGATTCTTCCCTAGACTTGGGGAGGGAGGGACACCTGATACCGAACCTGTCTGTTTGCTGGGGGACTGAGGCAGGAGGGAGCCCAGCTGCTACTCTTGGATGGAGAGGGGAGAGGTTGCTATTCTTGCCAGGAAGGAAGTTGCTGCTGCCCCAACTTCTGGTGCTGCAAGTGGGAGAGGGCTTTTTGTCCTTCACTGCAGAGCCAGTTGAGATGAGAGGCTGTTGCTTATGCCACCATCCCTGCCAGCAGTGTGTGGGCAGGCAGGGGCAGGAAGGTGTCCCTACCACAGCTATTTCCTCCCCTTCACCTAGCAGAGGGGACCCTTCTCTCCCAGTCCCCTTCTCTCACAGGAGGAAAAGGGGAGTTAGGAGAGGGGGTGATTGTCACATCCCTGTTGCCTACTCAAGCCCTCCATTCCCATGCACTGGTAACTCATTCACTTCCCTGGGGTACAACTTTGCTTTTGCCTGGCACAATCTGAGCAGAAATATTTGGAACTGACACTAGGGGGGTGCTCATCCATGGAGACTCAACTGATCTTTTTCTCTTTTGCAGAGAAATTAGCCACCAAACCCCTAAACGAGCAGATTGAGGAGATGGAGGAACTGTCCAGGGCAGTCACCAAAGGGTCTGAGATCTTAGTGGGAGGCTCACAAGAAAGGCCTTTTCAAGGTTAAACTTTACTTAATGTCTCTGGAGCTGTGCATTGAAGAAATCCCTTGTGTGAAAGGCGCCAGCCTCACCCTGTAATTTCTTTCCCACCGGGTGCTGGATTGCAGCCTGCTCGCCAGAGGGAAGATCAACCTGCTGCAGAGGCTCCTGGATGGTTCTGCTGACACCAGCTTGGCTGAGGAGGTGACCAACTCATTCTAACCAGCACTGGGTGTAGATGAGTCTAGAACTCAAGGCTGGAGATTTGTTTTGGGTAGCTAAGGGGAGTAACTAGGATGAGGGGGTGACATTGCACCTGGAATAGATTTAATATGGTGTCTCCCTGGTGTGGTTTCCAGCCAGCTGTGATCATTTTGAACTTTCTGGGCAGGTTGAAGTGACCGACC